GGTAAGGAAGCCACATGGTAGATAGAACGCTGGCAAATTGGATCAGTTCCAATATTGACCTCAGGACTCTTACACTCCAGCTTAGTAGGGAGAAACAACCAACTCTGGAGAGACAGGGGCAGGGAGGGGAAAGGGTGACTACAGCTGTGCTGTGCAATTCCTTAATGGTGATGTGAGCAAAGCTTTGTAGCATTACTCTCCTGTATAATTCTTGCAACATTTTTATTAAGGTGATAGGAGCTTGTGAAAGGTGTCAAACTGACGACCCCATTGTCCTGTTCAGTTAGTGAGTGTTTGTGCCATTTATGATTTTGGCCACCATTGTTTGTTTTAGGGAGGTTAGTAAGCACAAATGCAGAGGTTTCCCCTCCCCACCACATTTTTATGGGTCAGACTCTGTGGTTAAGATCTGCTTGTCATGCAGTAGTGTCTACAGCCACGCAGTAGTGAAACTGCTAGGGCAACTAGTGTTACATACAGCATTCCTGCCAACATAGGTGCATAGTCTACCATTAGATAACAGCACTTCTAAAAGGTTCAGATTTGTCTTAAAACAATTTAGCGCAGTTAGAGGGTGTGTGGCACAACATGTGCAGTAATCTGTACTATGTACATTTTCAGTGTGTTTCTAGTTCTTTTTCAATGTTGGCATTTTCTAACTATCAGTCCAAAATCTCTTTTAACATGTAAACTAGTACTTAGATACCACTGTGGTGAATGTATATAAATGCCTATGTTGATTGGATAGATAGGATGTATTAGGTATACACTGGCAACAGCCAACTGTTTGGAGTACATTACTTGGACACCAACTAACACGGAATAATGTCCAAACCAGAAATATACACATATGTATAACTGATGCTTTAAAAAGAGCCAATTTCACAAAGCTGAAAACAATTATGAGCCAAATTAGCTAGAAGAAAGAATTTGATCAAAAAATTTGAGTAATAATAATCCTTAGCTTTTTATCAGTAGGTCTCAACTCACTTTACAAAGGAGTTCAGTATCATTACCCCATAGTACAGAAAGGGAAACTGAGGCACAGAGGTGAAGCATCTTGCCCAAAGTTACCCAGCAGGCCAGTGGCTGAGCTGGGAATAGAACACAGGTCTCCTGAATCCCACTCTAATGATCTATCCACTAGGCTACACTGCTTCTCCATGATAATTTTATTTGATACCTAAAAATGCACAATAGAGAAAGAAAGCTACACTGGTTAAAAAACCAACCAGGCTTAGGGGAAAAGTGAATGCAACTATACAAAAAATAAAATATATTTCTCATCACGAACAAATGAAAAAAAGGGGAAGCTGATAGCAATGAACATAAATCAGAAGCTTGAAATTGTAGAAAATTGATTCAAGAAGCAAAAAAGACACAAGG